GATTATTATTACTATTATTTATTTGACCAATCAGAAATCATACAAAATTTGAGTATAACATTCAGATGATAAACAGTTTTAGGAAAGTGGAGAAGAATCTGCTGGTCAGGGGTGACAAAAGTAATTGAAATTGCTATTACTCGAAAGCATGTCACCCCCCTCCCTCACCCTCCCATTAGGGTTATTTTAAAGAATTAGATGTAGTTTGTGGTCCTGGGATAAAGTTAGGAAATAGTTTAGTGCATATAGTATGGACAGTGGAACATTTGACTTACTCTCTAAAAAGAATTGAGTGATCACTCGGTGAAATAGAGTGAACATTCACTCTTTTCTTCTTAGAGAGCACTCTAAAATTAATCCATATTCACTCCTAAACAAGCGATCACTGGTGTGACTCCCGGTGAAGTGAAAATAGAGTGAACATTCACTCTTTTCTTCTTAGAGAGCACTCTAAACTTAATCCATATTCACTCCTAAACAAGTGATCCCTGACGTGACTCCCGAAGAAGTGAAAATAGAGTGAACATTCACTCTTTTCTTCTTAGAGAGCACTCTAAAATTAATCCATATTCACTCCTAAACAAGTGATCACTGACGTGACTCCCGGAGAAGTGAATATAGAGTGAACATTCACTCCTTTCTTCTTAGAGAGTACAAGTGGAATTACGGAATAAAGAATGCAACAACCAAGAGCAATTATGTCAAACTGTCAAACCCATGGCCTTTAGTCCATAGGTTTAATTCTTACAAGGTCTTTGACATGTACTATTAGGGGGCATTCAAATTCAGAGTTTTTATGTCTGATCATAATGGACTTGTTTACATTTTTTCTCTCAGAAATCTTGAGATTTCAGACTTCCCTCAACTTGTAGGCTGAAGGCATTCCAAGAATTGTTTTGGACTATCATTCAATAAAGACGACCACAGCATTATACATTACCCTTGTGCGTTTATCTGTGTTAATGACCTTTCAGGAAATTAGCCAATTTTAGTTTCCTCCTATTTGTTACAGCGTCTGCAAAGTGAGGATTTATGCAGGGCATTCTGTTTTTTGAAAAGTCAAGTAAAACATTGTGTAATAAGTGCAACAAATTTATAACACTCCCTACTTTATATCTTCAACAAAATAATAGTCCTGTTTACTTATTTTATGCATACACTTTGAACCAAAGTTTCTCATGAAAACACAATAAGCTTGCCAGAGGCTAGCCCAACATAGCAACAGTGAATGTAGCTACATTTAAGTGGATACTATCACGTATATCAAATTTTGAATTAAATAATTCATAATTAGGGGTTCTGGAGATAAACATGCATAAATTTAAATACATTAGTAAACAGGTCTGTTTAGAACATTCAAGTTCTCTACGTGATACGCCAGACAAACTGACAAAAGACTGACCAATTGTTTGCCATTGGGGGTAATGTAATTGTTTTTTCAGTTTGGTGTTGGTCTGGTGTCGGTCTGGAGTTGGTCTGGTGTCGGTCTGATGTTGGGTCTGGTTTTGGTCTGGTTTTGGTCTGGTGTCGGTCTGGTGTCGGTCCGGTGTCGGTCTAGTGTCGGTCTAGTGTCGGTCTGGTGTCGGGTCTCATTGGTGTGACCA